CCCCCCCCCCCGAGACAGGGTTTCTCTTTGTAACTGTCCTGGAACTTGTTTTGTAGACCAGGCTAGCTTTGAACTCCTAGAGATCCTCCTGCCTCTACCTCCGAGGGCTGGGATTAACCACTTGGCGAGTTAGAATTTTTATAACACAGAAGAATAACAAATGTTTGGGAGCTGGCTCAGCAGGTAAGAGCGCTTTCTCGAGTAAACAAGAGGACTTGAGTTCAAATCCCCAGTACCCACGTAAAAAGCTTAGTCATGCACTTGTGACCTCTGTGCTGTGGAGGGCAGACAGGATTACTGGTGTCTGCTGGTCATCGGCTCCCCACACTGGGGACTGGGGTACACGCACCTGCACACCCACGTGCAGGTACCCCATACACAGGTTAGTTGCAAAGAATGTTGTGTGTGTGTGTGCGCATGTGTGTGGGGACCCGTGTGGAGGTGAGAGGATAACTCTGGAGTCCATGCCTTCCTTCCACCTTTACATGTGTTCCAGGGATCACGCATAGGTGGTCGGGCGTGTGCAACGAGCATCTTTACCTCACTCCTGAGCCATCTCGCTGGCCCAAAAGTTAACTTTGGCTCTCCGTGACACAGAACGGAACCCAGGCTGTCCACACTCACTCATCCGCGCGTTCATTCGGCAGATGCGTAGGAGACCACTTGGTGCCAGTGTCTAGGGTTCAGACGGGCGGAGCGGATCTCCCGGGGTGCACACAACCGTTGCTCACCTTGCCAGTGGTGTTTGTAGTCACACGTGCGGGACAGCGCAATCACGGCGGCCAGGAGCAGGGGTGCTAGGAAGGCACAGAGCCTCCAGGATTCCCCTCGGCCCTGTGGGGTGAAGCAGTGTAGCTTTCCTGCCAGGTAGAAGGAAGCGAAGGCCAGGCCAGCGAACGCAACTGGAACAGGGAAGACCTATGAGTCGGGTGTGTCTGTCGGGGGGAGCCCCAACACTCACATCCAGACGGGAGGGCGGGGAGCAGGAGCAGGCTTTACCCATCTTGATTACAGGAATGGAAAGTGAGGGCTGTATTTGCTGTTCCCAGGATTTTAAGTAACAACAGTTCCTGGAATACAAGTCATTACTGTGCACAGTGCTGTGCACGCCTTGTCTGTAAGTGGGAATCTAAAAATTAGTAGAATAGACCTTACTGGTTCTTGGGAGCTACACAGGTAAGAACCTAAAATGCTCAGCGGCCCCCAACACATAGTAACCCTGGGATAAAGATGAGGCGTTTGTCTTTTGAGACAGGGTTTCTCTGTGTAGCCCTGGCTGTCCTGGATCTCACTCACTCTGTAGACCAGGCTGGCCTTGAACTCAGAGAGATCCACCTCCCTCTGCCCGCCAAGTGCTGAGATTAAAAGTGTGCACCATCACTGCCTGGCCTGAATAAAGATGTTTTATGACTGACAAGAGACGCCTCATTCCAGCAAAGCTTCACAGGTTAAATTCAGTACTTTTTAGAAATATGTATTGGAACTGGAGAGTTGCCCCGGCAGCAATTAAGAGCACGTGGCTGCTTTTGAGAGGATCTAGGTTTGGTTCCCAGCATTCACATGGCAACTGTAACTCCAGTTCCCGGGGATCTAACGTCCTCTGGTCTCTATAGTATGCCCACACACATACAAGCCAAACACGGATCTACATAAAATAAGGAAAAAGGCTTGCAGTAGTTCATCTGACGTTCATACAGGAAGAGTGTCCACTGGGAAAGCTCTTCCGGCCCTCGTTCACCACATCCTTCTCCCCCGTGCAGGTCAGATCGGAATGGGCCAGTCCGTCGGGGAAGCAGCGGTAGAAGAAATCTGGCCGGGGCCTGGAAGAAAGGAGCACGGTATGAGCGCTCTAATCTACTCCTCCAGAAATCCTTCTTCAGTTGTAGTCGATGTCAATAATCCTGTTGACTGCTGCTCACGTCATGTCCTAGGCAAACTAATGGAACTGGATTAGGCTAGTCACTACACTGAGAAAAAAGCTTTAGTCACGCGGCCCACGTTTAAGGGGAAAGTCTAGAGCAGCTGGCGGCTGTGGTGGGAAACACAGTCCGTACAGGACACAGAGCAGGCGGGTGGCAGGCACGTTTAGGACAGGCAGAGGGCAGCGGGAGAGAGTTCTGGCTGAGAAAGATCAGTCCGAGAGTCAAGGGGGAAATGGAGCGGGAGGTTTGCGTGCCGGGTTCCTCACTCACCGGCCCACTATCAGCTTTACTGTGTTGGTAACGACACCATTCAGAGCTAGGGCAAGGCTGGCAGCTGGAAGAGAAAGGCCCGGTTAGTGCCGTCGGCTTGGGCAAGAGCCGCTGCCGCCACCCCAGAAGCCCTCCTTGCTCCCAGGGTGAATCCAACCGGTACCCAGCACAAAAGCAGCTGTGGCCCCGAGACCCCAAAAAACTTGTGTAAACGGCCCGGGGCCGAGAAGCCAGGGGATTTAGGCACATCTGGCTTGACCCAGCTCTTTACGGGACTGCAGTTTTTCCGCCTCACGGGGTAACAAGTGGGGCAAGAGGACATACTTTCGGGGTACCCCGTTTCCTGCCGTCCGGACAAGGCTCCAGTGGCTGCACCCCACTAGCGGCCGGCCCTAGGTGAGCAACTGGAAGAGCGCTTACCGAGGCAGGCTTGCTTGCTGTCCGTGGTGTCCGCCTTCTTCAGAAACCTGGCTAGGAAGATGAGGGACAGCGGCGTGAGAAAGGCGATGACCTGGAAGAGAACACACGGCCGTGGCCTCGCACTGAGGCCGGCTGCGGAGAGCCCAGCCAGACGCCGTGCTCTAGACCTGGATCTCGAGCACTCAGCTCCAGGTCCGAGAGCGCCCGGCAGGGAGGAGGAGGAGCCGCCCCTGCAGGGCGGGAGGGCTGCCGCTCACGCACAAACATGGGGCCGGTGGGGAAGTAGTCGGCCTCCGTGTACGGGTTCCGGTAGAGCCACAGCTCCTCGGGCTGGATCCGGCGCTGGAAGGGAGGCAGCAGCTCGGTCACCCTGGGGAGGAAAAGGGCGAAGATGGACAGGCTCTGGGCGGAAGGGCCTGCCGCCCGGAGCAGCTGCCAAGAGCGAGCACCCCGGGACGCCTGGGAGGGCTCCGACAGATCCTTACAGGAAGACCGCAAAGAGCAGGACCCGCACGCCCAGCTCCGCTGCCAGGGCCGCCGTCCCCATCCCGCCACACGCCGGCCGGCCACCCGCTGCTGACGTGGCTCCGCCCGCCCGCCCGCCCGTCCGCGCAGTGGCTCAGCCCCGGGCTCAGCGCCGCCTGGCGAGCACCGAGGGGACACTCCCAGGGGACCTCCCCGAGCTTCCGGGAAGCTCATCAGCTCTGAGTACCACCTAGCAACAGCACAGAAGCACTCACTGCCCTCGGGGTTGATCGGGAGGACCTGGCTGTTGGCCAACCAGCAGGCCACCTTTGGGTCTCAAAGCAATGGGATGAGAGGGCCCTTCACCAACTTCCTGGTGCCCAGATCACCTTACAGCACACTGAGAGGGATGCCATCCTCCAGAGACCCTTCCTCTACACAAGCAAAACAGAAAACTCACTTTAAAGAAACCATTTCTTAGCGGCGCTTTAAAGGGAAAAACCGGGCTGAGATTGGGTGGATTTTTGTTTTTGCTTTTTTGTTTGTTTGTTTGTTTGTCTTGGTGTGACTCATTTCTCAGTAAACTGTACCATGAAATTACAGGCAAAGAACAAGCCCATATACTTAATTAGAACATACAGGACAATTTATTAAAGTCAACCTCAAGCAAGACCTGAAACCAATCGGGTGCCATTAAAAACTTTTCCACATTCTTACAGAAGCAGAAAACACATCTGAGTCCTAAAGTATCTGTAAAATTAAAAAGGCAAAATTTCAGTCAATACAATGTACAAAAACTGTCCCACCAGCACACGTCAGTAAGAACTGTAAATATCACAGGCAATCCCACATACACTACAACTGGTCCACAGTGAGCTATCTATGTACAGGTTAACCACCGTTGGCAGGCTATCTATGTACAGGTTAACCACCACTGGTAGGCTATCTATGTACAGGTTAACCACCACTGGTAGGCTATCTATGTACAGGTTAACCACCATTGGCAGACTCATACTTTACAGTAAGACATTGGTCAGTCAACGAAATCCTTAAACTATGTTTCGAAGTCATTATACAGTAATGCCCTAGAAGGATACCTCTGGGGAAAATTAGCACTAATTCCTTAGTGTTAGGAGTTCCTGGCCAAGTGACAGAAACTAAAGAGACTACCCAGTGGAGGTTGACGCTTTGATATTAAGGACTCAAGTGGTTTAAGCAAAATAATATTTCACAGGATCTACAAAGTTCATTACAGGTAAACACAGATGTAAACATCTATAAAGAACATTATTCAAAGAACACAGAGAATGAAGACTGAATCTGCAGGTATTTGTTTATTTGTAATAATCAAGTGAACACAAATGAAATTTGCCATATCGATTCAAAATATACACAAATCTTTGTATATAAAAGATCTTTTGGGCCAGTTGTAATCAGTTAGCATCTTGGTTATTATTGGCAGTACAGTTACCATAGGTTACATAACAAAAAATGAGATATTAGCTGACAATGAAGATAAATGTAAACTTCCCGTTCCTTTGAGCCGACAGGAGCCCGATCCAGGCGAACCGGCCGTCGGGCACTTGAAGGCCATGGGCACACACCACGGCTCTGCCAGCAGGTAGGGAAAAGACGGTGAAGCTGGGGTACTTCTCACCCCTTAGCGGACTAGCGAAGTCACAGAAAACCAAGGACTGAATACTGACTCTGGCCACTTCTATTTTCACTTTAATGTACACGCGAATGACTTTCAGAGCCTGCGAAAGGACAAGCAATACTTTCCTCCCCTCCCCCGACACAGGTACAAGTGCTCACATCGGCCATTTGTCCACTGGCTTGACAAAAGCCAAACCATGTCATTTCTTCTTCTTTTTTCTCCTTTTGAGACAGGGTCTCCACATGGCCCTAGCTGTCCTGGAACTCATTACGTAGGCCTTGAACTCACAGACATGCGCCTGCCTCTGCTTTTGGAGTGCCGGGATTAAGGGCGTGCAGAACCATGCCTGGCAGACATGGCTTTTTGAAACAAGGGTTACACACAGCATTTCAGGAGTGTAACATAAATGCAAACACTACCACCCCTCCACACACAACACACCCACACACCCCACACACCCCACACACACCCAGGCTTATATTAAAAAGAAAGACAAAAGACACTTGGGGACGAGGCAAACAAATAAAAAAGACAAAGCAAAACCATAGGAACAATTTCTAGAAGTGCTGCCGATATCTCATGCAGGCGTCTCTTCCTCAGAGGTACCAACACTCTGATATACCTCCGCTCCCACCGGAAGGACTTCCCTTTGGACAGTCTACACAGTGGTGCTTCCCACTTCGTAATTTTACAAAGGAACTGGAAAGACAATCCACAGTCTCAAGTACTTGAAGAACCTGAATTGAGTGAGGCAGAGGTCTCAGTGTATAGGGGACTACATCGTGCCTGTGATGACCACTCACCATTTCCCTCCCGGGCTCTATTATGCCCGTTCTCCCGGGATCCCCGGTACCCTACCCAGGGTAAACCTGGTGATATTTCAGTACATCCAAATGTCGAGCTTTTCAATATTGGGTAATCCACTGAAAAGCTGTCTATCTACATTTACTCCTCTAGTGCATCTGAAAATGGACCGAGGTCTACTTTTGTCTACAAATAACCAGAGACTTAGGCAGGGTGGTCCTTGGTGGAGGAACTTTCCACTTGCTCACTGTGCTCCTGTGCTGTCCACAGCGCCTCAGCAGAGGAGGGTGTGGTCGGATGCAGCAGCCATGTGCAGAATAATTCAAGTCTAGGAATAAAGCAACTTCCCAAGGCCCTTGTACTCATGAGAAACATAAAAACGACTAGTTTGCCAAGCCGCGAGACTCAAGGGCGATTTGCTTTTCTCTCTCATTAGGACATGACATGTGGCTGGAAGCGTCTCAGCTCTGTGGTGAGTGGATGCTGCAGGAGGAGCGTGGGACTAAAACAGAAAATGACAGATAACGGCAGGTCCTGGGAGCCAGGGTCGACATTCCGAACAGATGCCATGATTTCCATCTTTAGGTCTAACAGAACTTAGCAGGTAAGAAAGCACTCAGGAAAGAAACTACTTCATGGAAGCTGTCCGCCAGCCCGGCCACCTGAGTGTCTCCCGTGACCACGGACACCCCGTGTCCCCGCTGCACACACCAGTTACAGGGCGTCCTTGCAAATACTGCGGCGGGTAGAGTGGAGCAGCTGGCTGCTGCCCCCCTTCCAGTTATCTTTTTAGTTTCAAATATGTTCCTAACTCACTGGGATATGTTATTTATACAACACACAGAAATCTCCAAGTTCCCATGGTTCCCAAACCCAGTCTATTGTACAGCTTAGGGAAGAGGATTTTTGAGAACGGAAACGGAGAAGGGCTTGCAGAGCAAAGGAGAAGATACAGCCCACTCCATCCTGGTCTCCAACACTGATGAGATTGAAGACGTGAACGGCTGCTTCAGCGCGGGCAGTCAGGGCGCCGCCCCTTCCGCCCCAGCCGGGCACAGGCAGCTATTCTAGCAGCCCAGAGTGGCCCCCAAGTACAGGGTCCGGGACAGCTTCATGACATCATTGCTAGCTCTTACCAACCATATCTAAAGCCTTACACTGCTAATCAGAAATCTCGTCTTCCTAGGAATCTGAATGAGGTTAAAAACCACCGTTAGTCCGTGCTGCTTCAAGTGCTTTCTTTTCCGGGCTGGATAAACCAACCACAAAGACTGCATACCACATATGATTTCAAAGCTAATGGATACCAGCTTCAGACCATGGGTAAGCGTGGTGCCTTCTGGAACAGGCTCTGGTGCAGGACAGGCAAGCACAGCTTATGTATACTTAGACACCTTCAACTCTAAGACAGACCTAGGCCACAACAGCACAGGAAGATGCCCCTGAACCGGCACAGCAAAGCCAAGTTTGGAGCCCCGAAAGCTTCTGGGCCATGCCGAACTGTTTTGAACCATCATCCCTTGGCTTGTGAAATAGCAGAACAATCCTATTAGTCATCAAAAAAGAAAAGATTTGAGAAGTCTTTGCGAAGCTCTTTTATAAACAGAGAAACAAATATGCCACACCAAAGAAGCTGAATAGAGATAGGTCAGCCTAAGGTATTTATAAATACATGATGCACTCTGGGGCTTACTATATAAAAGTTATCTGATACTAAAAAAGCATAAAGTCAAAAAGGAAACAAGATGCAATTTCATATTGGACACTGTTCTCATAAGAGTTACATTTGGAATATCAAAAGAAATCCTTTATCAGTGAGTTTAAAAAACGTTTATCATGTCTGTATAAAATAATATTTTAGTATGATAAAACCCAGATATTCTTACTTTACTTTTTTAAAGGAGATCAAACTTCATAATTGCTAATGAGCTAAGTGTAGTGTTTGCATGGGCTGGGCTTCTGTCATAGTGACCGCACTGGGGGCCTGCAGCATCCTGTCTTTCCGCTCATCAGAGCTTGTCTAACCACAGAATTACTAGAAATGCTACATCCAGCTAAGTGGCAGTTTAGGAGCTTAGAGGGAAACTGTAGTGTCTGTTGTCTATAAATTGCACATTTATATATATATATATATTTTAAAAAAGGAGGCACAAAATTGCTCTTTCTTCCAGAGAAAGAGGTCTGAATAGATTTGTAAAAAATTAAAAAAGGAACCAACACACTGGACACAACTCCAGGATGTCGTGGAGCATCTCCCGCCCCACGTTAATGACGTACTAGGTTCTTGAGGAGGATAAACCCTACTGTGTACCACCTGCTGGTAAGCAGTTAAAACTCACTGAGAAAGTTCATGTTTCATAGTAACACTAGTTTTCTACTCAGTCCAGTGTTCCAATGTCTCACGTGATTTCATGCAAGTAATACTGGAATAGCTCTATTGCTAAGTGCGAGATGCAAGGGAATTCTGTGGGCAGACACCGTGGTGGCTCGGGTCCGTGCCATTCAAACGTAACATAATGTTTGCGAACACTGACTTTCTGGGGAGTGTTCTCAAGTGCTCTCTAAGATGAAGCGCTCTCTGTGGCTCTGACAGACCCTGGAAAACTTCCTCCCCTTACTCAATGGGGACAATATGAAGCACTGCATAATACTAAGAAGAAACTGTTCACATATAACTTGGGGGATGTCTCTGTCTATTTTCACC